ACCAGCATCTGCAGTTCCTACTATCAATGATTTGAATCCAATCTGTCTCTTCTTCGGAAATTATTTTGGACCCAGAATACTAACTGTTCTTCTTTCTACACAGATGCTGCAAAACCAGGTGAGGGTTTCCAGCATTTTCTGTTTTTATTTCAGAAATAAAGCATCTGTGTATTTGACTTGCTATGTAATCCTGCACAGAAGCAGTATTGATTAATATTGACTTGAAGAGAGATTAGAAGATTTGGTATTAGCAATGCAGAGGAAAGTTATCAAGTGACCTTATTTGTATAAAAACTGAAAGATCTGCGGATGCTGTAAATCAGAAACAAAAACAAAAATTGATGGAAAAGCTCAGCAGGTCTGTCAGCATCTGTGAAGAGAAATCAGAGTTAACATTTCGGGTCCAGTGACCCTTCCTTCGTTCTGAAACGTTAACTCTGTTTTCTCTTCACAGATGCTGCCAGACCTCCTGAGATTTTCCAGCAATTTCTGTTTTTGACCTTATTTGTACGTCTAGTTTGAGAGCAGCTATTTAATTAATTTTCAAATAGAAACTTTTGATCTAGAATGAATTGATAGATACAACACAGATTCAAGATAGGGTGAATATGTAACTTAACTGTATTTATAACCACTACCTGTTAATCTCTAGCTCTCTAGTGATGATCCGGATGTGCATGAGAGTTCACTGCTTTCTCTATCACTCATGGTTCAGCTGTATGGTGGTGAAAACCAAGACAGCTTATCCCCAGAAAATATGGACTCTTTTGCAGAAGCTCTGAAACATAGAAAGGAGCTAAAACAGCAGAAACTTCTACTTCGAGTCATTAAAAGGCTGGTGAGTAAAGGTTTCAAACAACTGGATTTATAGAGTACAGAAAAGATGGCACTTGATATTTCTGGTTTTCTGTTTATTTAAGTATATCATTGACCTTTTGTTTGGCCAAACTGAGTAACATTGTGAGCAAAGAGAGAACATTTATGCTGGGAAAATAAAGAAACGGAACTTGTGGACTTTTGTTTTACTCATGCCTGATCTTGGCCTTGTGAGGGCGCCAGTGGGTAAAGTCGGAAAGACCTTCAGGAACAATTAAAGCTCTCAGCACCTCCCACTTCAACCGAACATGAGCTGCATGCTCCCTAAATTTCTAATTGTGGTGTGAGGCTGGCTCCTCTACAGACATGGGACATCATTGTTCATATTTAACAGCATGAACCTGAGAGAGAGATTTGCTCTCAACTTACTCCAACATCTTGCTAATTGAGTAGAGCTGAGGAAAGAAGGAACCCGGAATGGTTGGAAAATAGCTTTGAGCATTATATAACTTACTATGTCTCCAAACTTGGAAATACAAAGCTCTGTTCCTTTTTGCAAGTCATCAGCATATACGATGAAGAGCAAAATCCCAATTCAGAACCCTGGGTAACACTGTTGAAACATCTTGCCAAAGGAATATTGTCTTTTTCCCCAACCTCTTTGTCCTGCAAAGCCACAAGTTACCAATCCACTTCACAAGGTTGTGTTCAATTTTGAATGTTTCTATTTTTGCTAATAATCCCTAATATGGAGCTTTCTATTATTTAATACCTTTGGAAGTCCTTGTCCATAGACAATTCCCCGATCCACCTGCTAGTAATCACAAACCACTCAACTAATTTTAGTCAGGTATGAGGTACCCTTCACAAATCCATGTTGACTTTCTTTGCTCAGCAAGCATTTATCGATTGCTGCATCACTCTAATAATATATTCTACCAACTTCTTCACAGATGATATTAAACTGACAGGTCTGAAGCTCACTGGTTTCTCTTTTCCTCCCTTTTTAGATAACGTCATGGCATTTGCAAATTTTTAATTAAGAGGCACAATTCCTGAATATAAAATGCTTTATAAAATTCTGATTAAGAGACCTGCAGTTGCTTCAATTTTTCTTAGTTGGGAATCTTTATGTACGTGAACATCATTATTCAGCACCCCCAATTATTGACTAGACTGGTATCATTTACTACCTTGAAAAAGAGATTACCAGTACCTGTATTACATTTTCTCAACATAGACATTCAGCAAAAGGGAAGAGAAAATGTTAGGTGAAAAGTAAAACTGTCGACCTGAAAAAAAACTGGAAATGCCACAAAGATACAGATTCACAACAGGGGAGAGAACTGATGATCCAGCCATTAGTCTTCTTTGCACCCTGAATTTAACCAAAGGCACAAATCATGTGAGAAAGACCATTTATGACAAGAGTTTTGAATGCTTTCCTGATTTTAATGTTCATGTTATGCCTTTGCTTTTAAATTGGATTCTCCCATTGATTTAATTAATGGATTGAGAGAATTGATTTGTACCTAATACTGCAAGCGCATATGTTGGATGCATCTATCCAAAGTCATAGTTATTGAGTTAAACAGCACAGAAGTAGATGCTTTGGTCCAACATGTCCATGCCAACCAGATATCCTAAACTGATCTAGTCCCATTTGCCAGCATTTGGCTCATATCCCTCTAAACCCTTCCTATTCAGGTACCCATCCAAATGAGAAAACGGGGTGACCTTATAGTCGTTCTGATGAAGGGTCCCGACCTGAAATGTTGGCTTTAATGGTGCCTTACCTGCATTGTTCCTCCAGCTACCCACTGTGTTGACTCACCCAAAATCCTTTTAAGTGTTGTAATTGTACCCGCCTCCGCCACTTCTTCAGGCAGCTCGTTCCATGCACACACCATCATCTGCATGAAAACGTTGCCCCTCAGATCCTTTTTAAATCTTTCCCCTCTCACCTTAAACCTCTAGGTTTGGACTCCCCTACCTTGGGAAAAAGTGGCTCAATCTTTAGCACTGCTGCCTCACAGTGCCAGGGACCCGGGTTTAATTCCAGCCTTGGGTGGCTATCTGTATGGAGTTTGCACATTCTCCCCCGGGTTTCCTCCGGGTGCTCCAGTTCCTTCCCAGAGTCCAAAGGTGTGCAGGTTAGGTGGATCGGCCATGGGAAATGCAGGGTTACAGGGAAAGGAAAGTGGGGGGGTGTGTCTGGGTGGGATGCTCTTCAGAGAGTTGGTGTGGACTTGTTTGCACTCTGCAGGGATTCTATGACCTTGTCTATTCACCCTACCCATGCGCCTCATGATATCATAAACCACCCCTCATTCTCTGACACTCCAGGGGAAAAAGGTCCCATCCTATTCAGCCTCTCCCTTTGCTCAAACCCTCCAACCCATAGCAACATCCTTGTAAATTATTTCTCTTACCCTTTCAAGTTTAACAACTTCTTTCCTATAGTAGGGAGACCAGAATCGAATGCAGTTTTCTGAAAGTGACCCAACCAATGTCCTGTACAGCCGCAACATGACCTCCCAACTCATAGACTCAATGCACTAACCAATGAAGGCAATGCTACCAAATGCCTTTTTCACCACCCTGTCTAGCTATGACTCCACTTGCAAGGAACTGCGCACCTGCATCCTTGGGTGCCTTTGTTCTGCAATATTCCCCAGGGCCCTTCCATTAAGTGTACAAGTCCTGCCCTGATATGCCTTACCAAAATGCAACACCTCATATTTATCTAATTTAAACTCCATCTGCCATTCCCGGCCCATTGACCCATCTGATCAAGGTCCCGTTGTACTCTGAGGTAACCTTCTTCACTGTCCACAATACCACCAATGTGTTTCTCAATTGATATTGAGCATTTTGTTTTACTTGGTCTGTTTAACCATATTATCTGATTTGTTTTTTGTAAAATCCAGCACCTTATAGTTTTCAGAAATGGTTCTGCCACCTGAGAGATTGAGAGTGGGAACTGTATTGCATCCTGCAAGGCAAGGCTATAAAAACGGTGTAACTCTTGTATTGTAGGGGACACAAATCTATAAGTAAGAGGACAGTTGTTGAACTTTTGGGACTGAAACTACTACAACCACAAAGTTTTAAAATCATAGTTCAAAACTCACTTCTGGACAGTGCTCACACGTAACACAACTATCTCAGAACATTAACAATGAGGATAAAAGTAAGCCAGATAAGGAATAAGTTACAGACAACTAATTTAGGAGGGAGAAGAGAAAGGTATGGTCAATGTTTGAGATCTTTTAAGAATCCAGGAAGTTTGGAAGAAAGCGCAGTAATTTTAGGAGACAATCCAATCAAAGCCAGGGCTGATGGATTAGTTTCCTTTGGGAGTGGGCAATAAGTAAGAAGTTGGATGAGCGAGGATGTGGTGTGATACTTACAGAGATCACTCAAAGACCATAAAGAGAATGTATGAAAGAATTTGAAGCCAATTTGTTTGGAGGCTAATGGAAGTTAGTAAGTACGGAGTTGAAGGGTATGTGTAACTTTGGGTTATGCATTTCTGCATTGGTTGAAGTTTATGAATGTTGGAAGCAGAAAAGTTGGCAACCAGACACTCCAATTTTCAAGGTACTGAAGGCAAGGATGAAGGTTTCATTATCTCTGTGGGATAAGTAGAGAGAAACCCCAGTGCTACTCTAGAGATGGAAGAATGTAATCTTGAGAGGTTGTGGAAGCAGAAAATCCAGCTCAAATGGAAAAGTGAAGCAAAGTTGCTGGAGGCAGTAATTGACAACGCTCCACAGAATCAGGAGTTTCATTTAATCTCAGCAGATTGGCGTGCAGTGAAGCTCGCAAGACTCCCGTGCAATTTTTAACATTCTGAACAATATGAATGTTCTGATGGTGAAACCTAGCAGCCATCTACCCTTAACTTTTTTTGTGTGCATTCATGGTTAGTTAGATGAGGGAACTTTTCAGATTGTTCTACAGCTTAGAAGAAACATTGACCGGCAGTGCTGAGGAGAGGTCCAAAAAATAACATTAATATTATTGTTATGATGCTGGGAAGAGCACGGGTGATACAATGCCAGCTTGCCTGTGGCATGGTAATGAGACCCTCAAAATGGACCAAATCCCCCCTCTAATCAGTTGCGCAATCATTTAAAATCGAGCATCATGGGTCAGTGCTTCTGCCCTCAATATGTGTAGATGATTTGGATTTGAATAATAGAAAATATATCCTCAAAGTTTTCTAACAACACGTCTGTGAATTTGCAAAGTACAGCAAGGGCTACAAAGGATTTTTGGACAACGTAGCCATATGGCTGGCTGGTTGGAAGATTTGATTTAAAGTACAGAACAGCATTTATAAATCTTGAGAAGATCAACAAAGGGCAAGGGTGATTTTTAACTGTCAGATGTTTTACAGCAGGAAACAATTGATTTCGGTTAGATTCCTACTACCCAGAATGAGGTCATGGGGAATTTGATATGTCAGTTGATGTCCTGCTAAAAAACAGTTGCTGGCCTGTGGGAGTTTGGGTAGCTCTTGTACACTTGTAAGCACTTAGCTAAGTGTAGTTTGCATGGATTCCAGAAGGCCTCACAGTAAGGAGAAAGCCTCCGGATTATTCTTCAGCCTAAATAAGGAAGGAAATACATAGGATATCCTTATAAAAGGCTCTGTACATATGTTTAATAGGAAAAGCAAACTATTAATGCATGCACGAAAGCAGTAAATTATTATAATTACAGGACAATATTACATTGCAATGCATCTTCTGGCATGAGTTGTTTTTCACATATTGGATATGTTATCTTTTCTAGACTTTGTAACTTGAGTGCTGGGCTGAAACATGGTACCTAATACTAAGATTTCTTTACCCACTGTGTTGTTGTGCATTGTTGAGCTCTGAAATTATTACAAAGTACTATCTAATTAACATTGTCCAAGGAACTGCAGTACAGGTATATTTGCTGTATTCATTATGATATATTTCAAGATGGGCTGTCTTGTCTCTTGCAACCTGCTCAATAGATAATCAC